AAAAAAAAAAAAAAAAAGCAGAGGCATCACATCCCCTGACTTCAAGCTATCCTGTAAGACTACAGTAACCAAAACAGCACAGTACTGGTACATAGTGAGAACATGCAGTATTTGGTTTTCGGTTGTTGCATTAATTCACTTAGGATAATGGCTGGAACAGAATAGAGAATCCAGAAATAAAGCTGCACATCTGCAGCCATCTGATCTTTGACAAAGTTGACACAAACAAGCAATGGGAAAATGTACTCCCTATTCAATAAATGGTGCTGGGATAGTTGGCTATTTATATGCAGAAAAAAATTTTTAATTTTTTTTGAGGAATCTTGCTCTTGTCGCCCAGGCTACAATGCAGTGGAATGATCTCAGCTCACTGCAACTTCCGCCTCCTGGGTTCAAGCAATTCTCCTGCCTCAGCCTCTTGAGTAGCTAGGGATTACAGGTGCCTGCCACTATGCTGAGCTAAATTTTGTGTTTTTAGTAGAGATGGAGTTTCATCATGTTGCCCAGGCTCGTCTCGAACTCCTGACCTCAGGTTATCCACCTGCCTCGGCCTCCCAAAACGCTGGGATTACAGGTGTGGGTCACCACGCCCGGCCGGATTGAAGATTTAAATATAAGACCTCAAACTATAAGAATCCTAGAAGTCCGGACATTGGCCTTGGGAAAGAATTTATAACAAGTCCTTAAAAGCAATTGCGACAAAACCAAAAATTGACAAGTGAGACCTAATTAAACTGAAGTGCTTCTGCAGGGCAAAAAGAAACTATCAACAGAGTAAACAGACAACCTACAGAATGGGAGAACATATTTGCAAGCTGTACAGCCAACAAAGATCTAATATTCAGAATCTATAAGAAACTTAATTCAACAAGCAATAACCAAATAATCCCATTAAAAAGTGGGCAAAAATCATGAACAGACAATTCTCAAAAGAAGATATACAAGTGGTCAACAAACATGAAAAAATTCTGAACATCTCTAATCATCAGAGAAATGCAAATCAAAACCACAGTGAGATACCGTCTCATACCAGCCAGAATGGCAATTATTAAAAAGTAAAAAATTAGGTGGGTTGCTGGGCAGACTGGTCACAGAGAAAAGAGGAGAGTAACAGGCTGCTGAATAAGCTTCCAAAATGATGCCCACACTAGTTATCCTATTGAAAGAGGGAACTGATAGCTCCCAAGGCATCTCCCAGCTTGTGAATAACCTCAGTGCCTGCCAAGTGATTGCTAAGGCTGTAAGAACCACTCTGGGTGCCCATGGCATGGACGAGCTTATTGTGGGTGGCAGAGGCAAAGCAACAATTTCTAATGAAGTGGCCATAATTCTGAAACTTCTTCATGTTGTCCATCCTGCAGCAAAGACTTTAGTGGACATTACCAAATCCCAAGACACTGAGGTCAGTGATGGCACCACCTCACTGACGTTGCTGGCTGCAGAGTTTCTGAAGCAGGTGAAACTGTAGGTGAAGGATGGTTTACACCCTTAGCTCACATTCGAGCTTTCTGCACAGCCACCCAGTTGGCAGTTAACAAGATCAGAGAGATTTGCTGTGACTGTGAAGGAGGGAGATAAAGTGGAGCAGAGGAAGCTTCTGGAGTAGTGTGCTAGGACCGCTCTGAGCTCCACGCTGATCTCGCAGCAGAAATTTTCTTTGCTAAGATGGTGGTGGAGGCAGTAATGATGCTCAGTGATTTGCTGCAGCTTAAAATGATTGGAATCAAGAAGGTACAGGGTGGAGCCCTCGAGGATTCTCAGTTGGTAGCTGGTGTTGCATTCAAGAATACTTTCTCTTATGCTGGGTTTGAAATGCAACCCCCTCAAAAATACTACGACCCCAAGATTGCCTTTTTTTTTTTTTTTTTGATATGGAGTTTTGCTCTTGTCGCTCAGGCTAGACTGCAGTGGCCTGATCTCGGCTCACTGCAACGTCTGCCTTCTGGGTTCAAGTGATTCTCCTGCCTCAGCCTCCTGAGTACCTGAGATTATAGGCATGCGCCACCACATCTGGCTAATTTTTGTATTTTTAGTAGAGACGGGGTTTCACCATGTTGGTCAGGCTGGTCTCAAATTCCTGACCTCATGATCTGCCCACCTCGGCCTTTCAAAGTGCTGAGATTACAGGCATGAGCCACCATGCCTGGCCAAGATTGCCCTTTTGAATACTGAGCTCCAGTGGAAAGCTGAGAAAGATAATACTGAGATAAGAGTCCACACAGTTGAGGATTATCAGATTGTTGATGCCGAGTAGAACATTCTCTATGACAAGTTAGAGAGGATCCATCATTCTGGAGCCAAAGTTGTCTTGTCCAAACTCCCCACTGGGGACGTGGCCACCCAGTACTTTGCTGACAGGGACATGTTCTGTGCTGGCCGAGTACCTGAGGATAATCTGAAGAGGATGGTGATGGCCTGTGAAGTCTCAATCCAGACCAGTGCGAATGCTTTCTCAGCAGATGTGTTGGGTCGATGCTAGGTGTTTGAAGAGACCCAGATTTAAAGGTGAGAGGTACCATTTTTTTATTGGCTTCCCCAAGGCCAAGACATGCACCTTCCTCTTCTGTGGCGGTGCCAAGCAGTTTATGGAGGAGACAGAGCGGTCCCTGCATGATGCCATCAGGAATGAGTCAGTGGTGGCTGGTGGCGGCGTCATTGAGAGGGAGCTCTTTAAGTACCTTCGGGATTCTCCAAGGGCTGTTCCAGGAAAACAGCAGCTGTTGATTGGGGCGTATGCAAAGGCCTTGGAGATTACCCCACACCAGCTGTGCAATAAGGCTGGCTTTGATGCCACAAAGATTCTTAACAAGCTGCAGGCTCAGCATGCCTGGGGGCACGTGATATGAGGTGGACATCAAAATGGACATGAAAAACGAGGACATTGCTGACAACTTTGAGGCCTTCTCAAAGCTGGGAGCCAGCTATGATATGGATCAATGCCCTGGCAGTATTCTTTCTGTTTTGGCTCAGTTCACTTTTCAGCCTTTCCGACTGCTCTCCATGTGGCATCCATGACTGGAAGATTTGCTTTCCCTGAATTCATTCTATGCATCTCTGCTTCTGTGCCTTTGTTTATGTTTCCTACCAGCTGGAGTATCCCTGCTGTCCTCTAAATTAGTTGTATTTATCCTTTGGACCTCCACTGAGCTTTACCTTTCATGTCACTTTTGTTCTTTCTTCTCAGGATCTGATTTTGTCCTCACCATGCTGAGATCCCAAATTTCAGAGATGGTTTCCTTCCTCTTTCCCTGTAGCACAAAGCCATGTTAGTAAACAGTTGCTCAGGTGAAAGCCATGTTAGTAAACAGTAGCCTAGGTGAATCAGGCCCACCTGGTAAAATGTAAGGATATCTGCACTTTCACTTTTATAGCTCCCTCTGGTTCTCACTAGGGTGTTTTTTTTTTCCCTTCAGCATATTTCATTTTCTTTTGAGCAGTCCTCATCTTCCAGAAAAGTACCTGAAGAGAAAGTATCTTCTTTCCTCTATTCAATGGGGAGACTTGGCAAACACCCAAGCTTTGTCCAAGGCCTGGGACCGAATGAACACCGAGATCCTGTACAAGGTACTGGATTGTGTTCTTCCTTCAGGTCTCCTCTCCTCCTTTCTCTCCCTGTGGCTCACCTCTTTGGAAGCACTAGAAAGATGCCCTTGCTGTGCTTCTGTGTGTTCTGTGTTCTCGGGAGAGGTGATAATGCCAGTTTCTCTCTCTTTCTATTTCACACATCCTATTCAATGTTTCCTTCTTCCTGGAAGAGTAAGGAAGCTGCTTATCTGGAGACCACGGACACCACAGTTGAAGACTGACATTGCTGCACCCTGATATTTCTAAAGAAACTTCAGTATTTCAATCTGATATATTTGAAATATCAATGTCTCGAACCTGAGAACTGGGTCTTGGGGAGAATTAGTGCTTAGATGTCTGATGTTGGAGCTGCTGCACACCAGGCCATGGATGAGAGTATGTGAGCCACGCCTTGCCCTTTTCTGAGGCCAGGGACGTGGATGGAGATAGATAGCAGGCAAGGTGGTGCTGAAGAACACAGTGCCTTGCCTCCATTGTAGACTTGAATAGGTGGGAGGCAAGGACAGGAGGCAAAGAGCCCCACTGCCCTTGGCATCATCCAAAGCATTGTCTGTTGAAAGCAGGTCCTAGTTTTGTGCCTTTTGTTAATACCTGAATCCTTGACAAAAGAAAAGTGGTTTTGATGATTTGAAGAAGTAAGGGTGATTTTGACAGAAAATATATTTTAAAAATTTTGGTTGGGCATGGTGGCTCACACCTTTAATCCTAGCACTTTGGGAGGCCAAGGCGGGCGGATCACAAGGTCAAGAGATTGAGACCATCATGGCCAACATGGTGAAACCCTGTCTCTACTAAAAATACAAAAATTAGCCGGGCATGGTGGTGCATGCCTGTAGTCCCAGCTACTCAGGAGGCTGAGACAGGAGGTTTGCTTGAACCTGGGAGGCGGAATTTGCAGTGAGCCAAGATCGGGCCACTGCTCTCCAGCCTGACAACAGAGAGATTCCGTCTAAAAAAAAAAAATTTTTTTTCTTTTTTTGACCAATTGCAATAGTTATCATCAAGCCAATTTCCATAGCCTGCCACCAAGGGGAGGTGTTATAGCATGAATCATTCTGAATGCTTCATCTTTGAAGTGTTTGCCTATTGCTGTTACCATCTCAGAGGAAGTAAATGGGCATGGTGAGACTCCTAAAATGACAGGTTTTTTTTTTTGTTTTGGCCAAAGCTGGTATCTGACTTGCCACATTCCTCTGAGTCTGGAGCAGCTGCAGGGGTGGGAGAATGCCAGCCCAGAGTCAGTCCATCGGGGTTACATTTCCTAGGACCGCTGCCTTCATCTATGTAAGGCCTGTTACTTTCAGAACTTGCAGCTTCCCAGGGTGTGGTAGAAATCTTGGTCATTGAATGTAAAGGGGCTTAATGAAGGGCATAGATATTTTTCAAAAATGAAAATAACTATTTTCTTATTATAAGTGATATGCTTTTATAAAGATCATAGGAAAACTAGAAAAAATTAGAATGTAGAAAATTGCAAAATAAACTTCATTAGAGATATTTTGATATGTATCTTTTCAATGTCTTTTCAAAAAATTTTTAAAATAGAGATGGGGTCTCACTATATTGCCCAGCTGAAACTCCTGAGCTCAAGGGATCCTCCCACCTCAGCTTCTCAAAGCGTTGGGAATACAGGTGTGAGCTCCCGTACCCAGCCAATTCACAAATTTTTTTGAAGAACAAATGTGGTATCATCGATACATTCTGTTAGATTGTCTTTAAAAAAACCTAATGTAATTTGCTCGTCTTTTTATATCTGTAAATGTAGCTCAACACAATTATACCTTTTGTGAATGTATTATATCTTAAAATTTACATTTTATCTTACATTTTACATGCATTTTCCCAAATCTTCATGTTTTCCATCTGCAAAGGTAATACATTGATTATAAAAAATTAAAATGTTACATAGAAATATACCATTATCTACCTACCAGATAACTATTATTAATAATGTGTATTTATTTTTCCAGAAATTAAAAAAATCTAGCCAATGCGTGAGTATTGTAAATAAAACTTTAAAAACATTTGAGTGTCAAGTCTTATGTTGGGCTCTGGGGACAGAGATGAAAGAAAGCCCTGGAAAGGTTTACAGTTCAACCAGGGAAAGATTAATGTGCTAATAAATCACTGATATCTTGTTAAAATTCAGATTCTGATTCTGTAGGTCTGGAATGGGGCCCACATTCTTCATTTCAAACGAAGTTCCAGCTAATGTCGATGCTGACAGTCCAAGGACCAGGCTTTGGGTTGCAGAGATTTAAGTTGCAATACAATAATAAAAGTGTTATAGTTAAGGTAAAAACAGGTGCTGTGGGAGACTAGAGGTGATAACTAATTGCCTGTGGGACTCCTTGGTGACAGTGACATTTGAGATAGGCCTTGAAGGGAATTTTACGTGGGGCTAGGAGAGGGGTGCAGGGCATTCCATGCACAGGGGACAGTCTAAGCAAAGGCAGTGTTTGAGGTAGAATGGAAGCCAACACTGGATGAAAGTTTGCTGCATGCCAGACATTGTGCTTGTTGCCTTTACCCTCCAGAACTGGCAAATAATAGTGCAGTATCGCAGATAACGAGTTCATAGAAGGATGGAAGGATGGCAGAAAATCGGTCAGGAAGGGTGGAGTGGAACCAAATTGCGAAGAGGATTGTGAATCCCAGCTCAAGCGTTTGTATTTTGCTCTACAAATGGGAGTTGCTTGCTTATGTGTATGTATGTATAATAAAGAGGTTTATTTATTTATTTATTTATTTGAGACGAAGTCTTGCTCTGTCACCCAGGCTGGAGTGTAGTGGCGCGATCTTGGCTCACTGCAAACTCCGCCTCCCGGGTTCATACCATTCTCCTGCCTCAGCCTCCCCAGTAGTTGGGACTACAGGTGTCTGCCACCACGCCTGGCTAATTTTTTGTATTTTTAGTACAGACGGGGTTTCACCATGTTAGCCAGATGGTCTCAATCTCTTGACCGTGTGATCCACCCACCTTGGCCTCCCAAAGTGCTAGGATTATAGGTGTGAGCCACCTCACCTGGCCAATAAAGAGATTTTTAAACTTCCCTCATAGAAACAAGAAATGGCTAAGTAGAAACAAGCATGTTTATAGTGCTCAGTAATAACTATACAGTATTTAAGTATAATTATTATTCTTTTTATTTTGTTCCCTCTTAGCTTTTTGTCTGTTAAAATGTCATCCTTTTCACTGTTCTTTTTAAATTTAAAATCCTTTTTGTTTATTTTTTTGAGATGGAGTCTCACTCTGTCACCAAGGCTGGAGCGCAGAGGCGCAATCTTAGCTCACTGCAATCTGTGCCTCCTAGGTTCATGTGATTCTCCTGCCTCAGCCTCCCAAGTAGCTGCAATTACAGGTGACTACCACCATGCCCGGCTAATTTTTATATTTTTAGTAGAGACAAGGTCTCATTATGTTGGCCAAGCTGGTCTTGAACTCCTGACCTCAAGTGATCTGCCTGCTTCCGCCTCCCAAAATGCTGGGATTACAGGTGTGAGCTACTGCACGCCGCACCCGGCCTGCTTTATTTTTTGAGTAAGTGATACATCAATATTGTAAAAAAGGTATGCAAGAGCATATTTAGACTGGGCACAATGGCTTATCCCAGCACTTTGGGAGGGCGAGGTGGGAGGGTGGCTTGAGGTCAGGAGTTTAGACCAGCCTGAGCAACATAGTGAGACTCTGTCTCTACAAAAAAATAAAAGAGGGCCGGGCGTGGTGACTCATACCTGTAATCTCAGCACTTTGGGAGGCCCAGGCTGGCAGATCGTGAGGTCAAGAGATTGAGACCATCCTGGCCAACATGGTGAAACCCTGTCTCTACTAAAAACACAAAAATTAGCTGGGTATGGTGGCGCGCACCTTTAGTCCCATCTGCTAAGGAGGCTAAGGCAGGAGAATTGCTTGAACCTGGGAGGTGGAGGTTGCAGTGAGCCGAGATCATGCCACTGCACTTTAGCCTGGGCGACAGAGTGAGACTGTCTTAAATAAATAAATAAATAAAACAATACAAAATAAATAAATAAAAGAGTCATGTGTGGTGGTGTGTGCCTATAGTCCTAGCTATTTGAGAGGCTGAGGCGGGAGGATCACTTGAGCCCAGGAGTTTGAGGTTACAGTGAACCATGATCACACCACTTCACCCTAGCCTAGGCAACAGAGTGAGGCCCTGTCTCTAAAAGAACAATGGTATATTCAGTTAAAAAGTCTTCTCCCCCAGTTTCCCAATTCCCTTCCCTGAAAGCAACCCATATTGGATGTTTCTTGTGTATCCTTCCAGAAATACGATTTGCCTGTGTGAGTGTGGTGGGCAGGTGTCCTCAAAGGCAGCCCCCAGTGCTCCGACCTGTGGTGTTCATGCCCCTGTGTACTCCCCTCCCCTTCCACACGGGCTGGACTTACAGATATACTTCTCATGAATAGAATACTACACAAGTGTTGGATGT